ATATATATACACACACACATTGTTGTCTACACTGGATTCAGTCAACTGATGCCTCGTTCTATATATGACGTGCTGACAGAAGTTCAAATGATTTTCAACGGTCGCTTTGTCGCGTTCTGATGCGGCGCAGACACGGTCAGCATAGTTTGTCAGTACAGTCCGTAACGTAGCAGATTGAAAATGTAGTATCTTTCTGCAGTCCAATAGACGGCAGTGCGGAGGTGGCTTGAGTCTGTTGAATGGTGATTTAACGCTACTTTGTCACCTACTTGGAGAGACTCAATGCTCAGTAAATAAACAACAATGCCCTCGTCTTTTACTCACAATGAGCTTATCATATTCGTTTGCTACATTAGTAGGGCCCTATGATTTCTGAGATGCAGAAAACATGGACGGAATCGCGGAATCCAGTCTTAAAAACGGAATTTACTGTATAATGCGGAATTTCATGGAATTTGTCTTATTTTTGATGAATAAATAAAAAACAGGTGAGTGTAAATTGTTAAATACCCTTCCTCCATTACATAGGCCTATGTTTGTCACCTCATTATAAGTGTTTGATCACCACATTTGAGTTATCATTGCAAAAAATGTTTATGTATATATTTTCTGTTTATGTGGGCTATACACTGTATTCTATATACAGTACCAGTCAAATGTTTGGACACACGAATGGGAAGTGTGTCCAAACTTTTGATTATACTGTACTATAATATAGCCTACACACAAAGAATATCTGCCGATATATCGGTATCTGTCTTTTTTTACTCCCTAATATCGGTTTCGGCATCGGACCCCAAAAAGCCCATATCGGTCGGGCTCTAATATATATATGTATATATGTATGTGTGTGTGTGAGTGACCCTGGACCACAAAACCAGTCTTAAGTCGCTTGGGTATATTTGTAGCAATAGCCAAAAATACATTGTATGGGTCAAAATTATTGCTTTTTCTTTTATGCCAAAAATCATTAGGATATTAAGTAAAGATCATGTTCCATGTAGATATTTTGTAAATTTCCTACTGTAAATATATCAAAACTTAATTTTTGATTAGTAATATGTATCAGGCCCGATACTGAGCTCCTGTACTCGTTAAAATGCCCCGATACCAAACGCCGATACCACACAGCATGTGATAAGCGCCATATTCAAACAAAGAAACACCAACAACAGACAGCAGAAAGGAGTTAAGGGTGTCTACTACGAAGTATATGTATGCAATGAATATAATGTTAAACCTTCAGTATTAATGCCTGTATAGCTGATGTGTGCAAGCTGATAAACAAAGCATGCTGAGTGGATTGAGTGCGCGGCGGTGCAGAGCTTGTCGAGTGAATATATCTTTCTCACAGACATTACTGGAAAGTTTGTAGTTCGGTCGGATATGGAGTGAAAGTGAATCTAGCAGCCTGTGTGAAATGCGCTATATGTGCTATTCTGCATCAGTACAAATGCGTGCACGCGTTGCATGTTTTGCTTGCTTGAGTGTTTCTGCATTATATGAGTGGCTTTGGAATATAAATTGCAGCACGTTTCAGGTGAAAAAACGCGACTTCTATTTCTGAAAATATCACAGTTAGGAGATTTATAGCGAGTGGTTCGCTGCATTATTACAGCAAAGCGCGTGATTACAGTACTAACCCGCTGCAATGGAGCAGCTCGAATGCTATTAAATTAAAGATGATGTACCATAGAGCAAAACAATGAACAGTGAAAGTAACAAAAACTTGTAAAATATATTTTAATGGGCATAATTAAATGTGAAAAAAACTTAAGGATATACAGTGAAACCAAAAATTATTCAGAGACCAGATATCATTTTTGATATTTTTTACTAGGACAGGACACTATAGTTCATTTATGTAAGCGAGGATAGCAAAATAAAGTAAACTGTGACAAATCATACCCAAAAATTCTCCATACAGTGGACTACCAGTAAAATTGATACAAATTTGGGACCAAAAATTATTCAGACCGAGTCTGGGAAAAAACATTGAAGTTGAGGTTTGCATGAAGCTGGGTGACAGCATGCCCAGGAGACTACAGGCTGTCATTAAGGCTAAGGGTTGCCCGACTAAGTATTCATAGTTGTGTAAATACTGTTATTCTAACAGCTGTCTGAATAATTTTGGTTGATTGTAATCTATTACATACCTTTCTATCAAAATTATCTAACATTATCAAGATTAATTTGTTCTGACACCGTGTGACTCTGAGTTCTTGTTATATTTTATTACCATTTTCTAAACTATAGCGAATAAACTGTGATAATGTGAGAAATGTTGAAGGTGTCTGAATAAATTTTGGTTTGACCTTTTTGATCTATTTGATAAATAAACTTAACCAACTAACATTATACATACTCTTTTGATTTCTATACCCAATATTTAAAAAAATGTACAAATGCAATAAAAATATCGGTACTCGGTATCGGCAAGTACCAAAAATAAAAGTATCGGTATCGGGTGAGTACTGGAAAAAGTGGTATCGGTGCATCCCTAGTAATATGCATTGCTAAGAACTTCATTTGGACAACTTTAAAGGTGATTTTCTCAATATTTAGATTTTTTTTGCACCCTCAGATTCCAGATTTTCAAATAGTTGTATCTTAACTAAATATTGTCACCAAAAATTGACACTTATGACTGGTTTTGTGTATGTGTGTGTATATATATATATATATTTATTTGGGCTGTGTATTTCGCTGGGTTTTAGGGCTGGGTATTATGAGTATTGCGATTATATAACTATTGCAATTCAATATTACAATTTATTGTGATTTTTGTTTGCTTATTAAAGACTAGATAATGGAAAATACTTGATCATACCATTAAAGAGACGTATATGAGTCATATTAATAAAACAATGCATCACATCTTTCTGAACTTTTATTTCAGGAGCATACACGTACACAGTGTATATTTAAAGTACCTTGAACCATGAAACTTTCAAGTACCAAAACCCTGAACTTGCACATGAATATAATGTGAAATGTTCAACAAAATTAGTAGAAAAAAATACTCTCTGAAATAAAATAAAATGCTATGTTACTTTGCATACCGTTTTTAGTCATGTTTTCCAGGCAGTGTGTAAAATCCAAAGTGTTTCCACACTTGGGATTTAAAACGTGAAGGTGCAGAAAGAATTCTCGAAGAGGTGGAAAATACTTGATCATACCATTAAAGAGACCGTATATGAGTCATATTAATAAAACAATGCATCACATCTTTCTGAACTTTTATTTCAGGAGCATACACGTACACAGTGTATATTTAAAGTACCTTGAACCATGAAACTTTCAAGTACCAAAACCCTGAACTTGCACATGAATATAATGTGAAATGTTCAACAAAATTAGTAGAAAAAAATACTCTCTGAAATAAAATAAAATGCTATGTTACTTTGCATACCGTTTTTAGTCATGTTTTCCAGGCAGTGTGTAAAATCCAAAGTGTTTCCACACTTGGGATTTAAAACGTGAAGGTGCAGAAAGAATTCTCGAAGAGGTTTGATCCCCTCTGCCTCCTTCATGGTTTTGCTTTCTCGTGCCGGCTTGAAACGGATACGATGTCATCTAATGCAGTGCTGCTAGTGCTGCTTCAAGTCAAACACATGCATTTCGACCTCTGTTAGAATAAAAGTGGTAACTTCTTCCCACCACCTCTTAGGAAAAGTAAACCAATTAAATATAAATCAATTCTGAGGTAAACCAATCTTTTTCTCCCACCCCTAATATATATACGAGTGTGTGTGTGTGTGTGTGTGTGTGTATGTATATATATATATATACATGCATACATACAGTGGGTATGGAAAGTATTCAGACCCCCTTAAATTTTTCACTCTTGTTATATTGCAGCCATTTGCTCAAATCATTTAAGTTAATTTTTTTCCTCATTAATGTACACACAGCATCCCATATTCACAGAAAAACACAGAATTGTTGACATTTTTGCAGATTTATTAAAAAAGAAAAACTGAAATATCACATGGTCCTAAGTATTCAGACCCTTTGCTGTGACACTCATATATTTAACTCAGGTGCTGTCCATTTCTTCTGATCATCCTGGAGATGGTTCTACACCTTCATTTGAGTCCAGCTGTGTGTGATTATACTGATTGGACTTGATTAGCAAAGCCACACACCTGTCTATATAAGACATTACCGCTCACAGTGCATGTCAACAATATATTTTGTTTTTGAGCAACATACAGAATATTAGGAACAGTAAAGTTTGTTTATTTTTTTCTTTGATTTGTTTCCTAAAAAGGAAAAATAAAGACTGACATATTTATTTAACCTAAATCTGTAATTACAGTTATTTAATTTTAGTTATATAATTCATATACATATTTTGATTTAATAATAACCCAATTTGAAGCAAAAACGGATTAATTTTTGTTTAATATTCTGACTAGCTTTGTGAAATAATACTACAAGCCTGAATGAATCAAACAGCAGAAGCTCTGAATAAGACGCATATTCACTCTCTGACAGCAGGAGGCGCTCCTGGAACACCAGATATGGCGTTTCCTTGCTTACCGCTGAAAACAAAGCAGCGCTGCGCTGAAACACTGCTTTATTTTGAACTATACAGAGACGAGATGAAAACAAAATACCATGTAAACTTTTCTGAAGACAGTCAGTTCCCCTCAGAAACACATTCATCTAAACCCCCAAATCAATATTGAGGATTTTCTTCCAATAGTTTGTGCATCATGAACAGTGAGTGATCTGCCTGCTACAGTATTTTTCTGTGTGCGTCTTCAGCGTCTCTGGCCTGTGTTAACGGGTGTTTACAGACTTCATATTTTCACATAAATTACGTTTTAGAAAACGATTGCATTGCAACGCAGTTTGTGCAAGTCCAGAACAGAGACGAGTTGCAATAAGACAAAAAACGTCCGGTTGCCGATCGTGTAAGTTCCAGGGACAGCTCCTTAAGTTCGGCTATCCTACACACACGTGACTGACCGCTCACTTGCACCAACAGGAGGAGGGTCGTGTTACTCTCTACACTGCACTCAACCTGAGGGATTCCTACACTTTCAGTCTTTGTGGAGACATGGAAAACAGCGCATACCGCAGGAACGGTATAACGGAAAATATTAGTGGTTTTGAAACTGTGAAATTTTCAAATAGCGGTATACCTTGAAACCGGTAACCGGCCCATGCCTAATACACACACACAGAGTGGTGGCCAAAACTATAAATATTAAAACTAGTATTTTCACCAGCTAAAAAAATTTATTTAATTCAGTTATTTTTGTCTTTTGCTGTAGTGTCATAATAACCCAGTGGGATTTTTGTCTGACAACAGCCAGTGCTCCACACAGAGATCTGATCTGATCATCATCAGTCTGTCTGGAACGACATGAAGAAACAAACTGAGACTAAATCCAGAAGAACTGTGGCAACGTCTCCAAGATGCTTCAAGAAACCTACCTGCAAAGCTACAGTACTGTTAAACGTTTTAGGCACTTCTTTAAAAATGCTGTAAAATGAAGATGCTGTCAAAAAAAATGTCATAAATAGATTTTCTTTATCAACTAACTTCTGTTAACTAAATTAAATCAACATTTGGTGTGATCATCCTTTGTGTTTAAAGCAGCTTTTGCCCTCGGTGCACTTGCGCATAGTTTTGCAGGTAGGTTTCTTGAAGCATCTTGGAGACGTTGCCACAGTTCTTCTGGATTTAGTCTGTCTCAGTTGGTTCTGTTTCTTCATGTCGTTCCAGACAGACTGATGATGATCAGATCAGATCTCTGTGTGGAGCACTGCTGTTGTCAGAAAAAAATCTCACTGGGTTATTACAATGAATGGCTAAATGAATGTTTGGAAATGTAAACTGATATTTCCTACTGACACACTACAGCAAAAGATAGAAATAACTGAATTAAAACCATTGCTGAAAATTCTATTGTTTTAATAATTTTGGCGCAGGAACGGTATAACGGAAAATATTAGTGGTTTTGAAACTGTGAAATTTTCAAATAGCGGTATACCTTGAAACCGGTAACCGGCCCATGCCTAATACACACACACAGAGTGGTGGCCAAAACTATAAATATTAAAACTAGTATTTTCACCAGCTAAAAAAATTTATTTAATTCAGTTATTTTTGTCTTTTGCTGTAGTGTCATAATAACCCAGTGGGATTTTTGTCTGACAACAGCCAGTGCTCCACACAGAGATCTGATCTGATCATCATCAGTCTGTCTGGAACGACATGAAGAAACAAACTGAGACTAAATCCAGAAGAACTGTGGCAACGTCTCCAAGATGCTTCAAGAAACCTACCTGCAAAGCTACAGTACTGTTAAACGTTTTAGGCACTTCTTTAAAAATGCTGTAAAATGAAGATGCTGTCAAAAAAAATGTCATAAATAGATTTTCTTTATCAACTAACTTCTGTTAACTAAATTAAATCAACATTTGGTGTGATCATCCTTTGTGTTTAAAGCAGCTTTTGCCCTCGGTGCACTTGCGCATAGTTTTGCAGGTAGGTTTCTTGAAGCATCTTGGAGACGTTGCCACAGTTCTTCTGGATTTAGTCTGTCTCAGTTGGTTCTGTTTCTTCATGTCGTTCCAGACAGACTGATGATGATCAGATCAGATCTCTGTGTGGAGCACTGCTGTTGTCAGAAAAAAATCTCACTGGGTTATTACAATGAATGGCTAAATGAATGTTTGGAAATGTAAACTGATATTTCCTACTGACACACTACAGCAAAAGATAGAAATAACTGAATTAAAACCATTGCTGAAAATTCTATTGTTTTAATAATTTTGGACACCACTGAATATGTTTTTCAAAGAAGTCTCTTATGGCTCACCACAGCTGATCAAAAATAAAGAAAAAGTAATATTGTGAAATATTATTGTAATTTCAAATAATTGTTTTCTATTTGAATATATTTTCATCTTTTATTATGTCAAAGCTGACATTAGATCATTACTCATTCGTTTCAGCATCATTACTCCAGTCTTCAGTGTCACATGATCCTTCAGAAATCATTCTAATATACTGATTTGCTGCTCAAGAAACATTTCTTATTATTACACTGTAAAAAAAAATATTTTGTCTTGTTCTTCATTACAAATATCTAATCATTCTTATATCAAGATACATTTACTTGAAGCAGTATGACTTAAGATATTAAGTCTTTATGAAAAATTTATAAAAATTAAGAGGGTTTTGAGAAAAGGTATTTGTCAGTGGGGCAAGAAAAATAACCTTGTTTTCCCATTGAATTAAGATAATTAGATAATTATATTATTTAGATAATTAAGATCATTTTGGCAGATATGTTTTCTTGTTTTAAGCCAAAATACTTTTAGATAAGATATATCCATAACATCCGTAAGCCATTTTGCTTCTCATGTAAATGTACTTTGATTCAAGAATGTTTAGATATTTGTACTAAGAAAACAAAACAAAAATACTAAAGATATTCTTTTTTTTTTGCAGTGATATCAATTTTAAAAACAGTTGTGCAGCTTTTTTGTTTTTCTCTTTTTTTTCTTTTTAGTTTTTTTGTCATACTGTTGACAAGAATTATGAAAATTCTATGGTATCAAAAACAACGATACCGTGATATATCGTTATCGTCAAATAAGATTACTCGTATATCGTGATAAAAGATGTTGGTCTCATGGCCCACCCCTACTACCTACCCTAAACTTTTGAATGGTAATGTATGATTCAGAGGATTTGTAACATAGCATTTATGATTTGTTTGGAGCTTAAAAAACCTCAGTTCACATTCATTTTCGTTGTATGGATATTCCTGGATATTCTGTAGCACTTCTTTTGTGTCCTAGTGATAACAGCATATGGGTTTGGAATGACATGAAGGTAGTTTTGTATTAGTTTATCATAAAAATGTAAATTTTACTCTTTGCCAATTGAAAGCCATTCCTTTAAAAGGCATTGTTAGATGTGTTGTCTGTAGCACATGGCAGGCGCTGCGTGTGCAAATAAATACAGAAAGTCTTGGCAGAGTCTGTTTGAACAGCAGGTGTGTTTGTGTGTGTTTGGATGCAAGGTGGAGCTGCAGTTTCAGCTGAACAGACTTCCTCTGTGTGAGATGCACTACGCTCTGGATCGCATCCGCGATAATGGTATCCTGTTTCCAGATGTCGGCCTCACTCCCACAATCCCTTGGAGTCCCAACAGGTACGAGCACACGCAAAGATCCAAACGAGTGAGTTTTACTCACACACACTCACCTGGAGATCTGCTTGCACTAGTTCCTCATCTAACAAAGCTTCACAAGTACCTAAAATGGCACAGGGCATGAATAATATCTGGTTGTCCAGCAGCACTGGTTCACTCACAGACGTCTCTATTTGTGTGAGTGGCAGCTGTGTTGGCAGGACGCGTTTGTTGCCAGTGTGTAAGTTCTTCTTCCTCGCTGCCACAGGCAGTGGGATGAGCAGCTGGATCCCCGTCTGAATGCCAAGCAGAAGGAGGCTATTCTGGCCATCACCACCCCCCTCTCCATCAACCTCCCGCCGGTGCTCATCATCGGACCCTACGGCACAGGCAAGACCTTCACACTGGCCCAGGCTGTCAAACACATCCTCAAGCAGCCTGAAACACGGTAAGCAAGAAAGCGGTTTTGCAGGAATTTACCACAGAAAATAATTTCCACTCATTTTGATAAACGAAACAAGAAGCGCATTTACAGTATTGTTCATTTTTCTATCGAAAACTGATGGAAAATACTTATTGATGAGGTTTCTTTTTCTATGACTAAGACAAGACGAATAAAAGATGAGGGTCACTATATGACTATATCAGTATGCAGTATCATTGATGAAAAAGACGAGATTGAAAATATAAAAATAAAACAAATTTTATATATAAAATAAAAACTCTCTATATCCAAACTAGTGGTCGACCGATATTGTTTTTTTTGACCGCCGATGCCGATATCTAGGAAAGCAGGGTGGCCGATATAAAGCCGATATAATTGTATTTATTTTAATTAATATTTAAGAAATTTGAAAATGGATTAAAAAATTAATTTGTAAAATAAACATACTTATACTTTAGATGACAACGTATTTTCCACAAATAAATAAATATTTAATAAAAATATAAACTGGCCCAGGCTGTCAAACACATCCTCAAGCAGCCTGAAACACGGTAAGCAAGAAAGCGGTTTTGCAGGAATTTACCACAGAAAATAATTTCCACTCATTTTGATAAACGAAACAAGAAGCGCATTTACAGTATTGTTCATTTTTCTATCGAAAACTGATGGAAAATACTTATTGATGAGGTTTCTTTTTCTATGACTAAGACAAGACGGAATTATATTTTTTCAAATAAAGCCAGGGTAACACTCATTTTACATACAACACACAGTGAAAATGAAATGAATATGACAGTGAGCAAATGCATAAAGTGCAGCATAATTTGAAATCACGAATTTAATGTTTAAAGCATTCAATTTGCACGGACCGAAAGTCACGCAGAGAACACGTGATCATGCAGGTCACATGCACACTTCACAAGATCTCACAACTGGATTCGACTAAGTTTGCAAGGTTTGTGAAATTAAGTGTTCATTAGCCATTCGAAGATTTGTTTAAATTATATAAATGCGTATTTGCTGAATGCTGATGGCAAACGAGAAAGTATTATAATGTTTGCCTTTCTATTACTAATAATATAAAAGCAATCGTTATAATACTTTTTGTATACATTTTAATTCCTTTGTTTAACAGTTCTATCTGATTATTAGACAGACTTCTATCCATATTAGACAGAACTGTTAACAACGACGGCAAACAAGAGGGAGAATGTGAGCACTGTTTGCTCAGGGCTGCCGCTCTCAGCGCCATCAAAATAAAACTCCTTTTTATTTTTATTTTGACGACGGTCAAAATAAAAGTCCCGCCTCCAACGCATCGGCCAAACAGAAAAACTTATCGGCCGATGCCGATATTTGAAAAATGCCAAATATCGGCCGATATATCGATATATTAACAAAAAAAGGTCAGATAAATATAAGCCTTTACTTAGGGTTGTTTAGTTTTGTAGTTTTCATGCTTAGGGTTGCCAGATGTTAAAAGTTTAAATCCCCTTATCAGAGCTTTTCTCCTTAAAAAAGGGCACATTTTCTGCATTGTGATTTCAGGGTGTCCGGGGGTCCTTAAAAAGTCTTAAAATGTCTTAAATAACGTTTTCCTAATATAAGGCCTTAAAAAGTCTTAAAATGTCTTAAATTCGGATTCGATGGGTCTTAATTATTTTTGGTCTCATTACCGCTAGAATATCTTAATGACATTGGACCCGATATTTGAAAAATGCCAAATATCGGCCGATATATCGATATATTAACAAAAAAAGGTCAGATAAATATAAGCCTTTACTTAGGGTTGTTTAGTTTTGTAGTTTTCATGCTTAGGGTTGCCAGATGTTAAAAGTTTAAATCCCCTTATCAGAGCTTTTCTCCTTAAAAAAGGGCACATTTTCTGCATTGTGATTTCAGGGTGTCCGGGGGTCCTTAAAAAGTCTTAATGTCTTAAATAACGTTTTCCTAATATAAGGCCTTAAAAAGTCTTAAAATGTCTTAAATTCGGATTCGATGGGTCTTAATTATTTTTGGTCTCATTACCGCTAGAATATCTTAATGACATTGGACAGACCCGCGGTAAGTTACTGCGTCGTCAGAGAGAATTGCAGAAAGTTAGCAGAATACAAGCTCGCGCTGAGGCTCACTCTGTTTGTCTCGAGACTTCAGAACAAACGAGCGTGACCGCACACATAAACTCAGAAGAAACACACTGAGGTAAAAATTCAAAATGTTTAGTTTATTCATAACATGATATAGTTAAATAACACCATGACAAGTGAGCTATTTTACTCAATATTCTCACAACGCAAAAACAAACAAACATTCAAAACACGCATTATGTGAAGTCTAGTGCGCGTGCGCATTTGCAGTGCGCTCTGCTTGATCACTGCATTATTCGGTCTATTAAAATACATTCAGAATGATCACAAATTCAAGACGCGGGGGCAGAAAATGTGTATATTTATACTCAAGTTCACACGGAAGAGTGTCTTTTTTTCTCCAAAAATTACCATATACAAATGTGATATTGATTTTTTTTACAACAGTTCAATAAACTAGAAGTTTTATTAAGAGACTTAAGTTTTAGACACCATATTGCCTGTTTTTGCACTATTTCGCCAACAAAAATAATTCCACAGCGCTGTTTTGCATCTCTGAGCAACATGACGGCGTTTCGTTTAAATGATTTGATTCAGTCGCAATGACTCACTTATTGACAGTGACTTACTGCCACCTACTGGCGGTTTTAATTTGACTTTTAAATTGTTTCAAATATCAGTATTCAATATTTTATGTTTAATATATCAAAACATTATTTATGCATTTGTAACTGCAGGTTAAATGCATTCATGTCCTGCATTAAACAGTGTGTAAACACATCTAAATGCCAATTCAGGTGCAGCTTATGTCTGGATTGCAAAGATGAATTTTGTTGATACTGATTTCATTTGCTTGGTAACAGCCCAAATGTCTTATTCTTATTCACTGATTAAATGTAAGAATTTGACTCGAAAGATAATGCACACTTATAGAAAAATGGCTTTATAAAGGTAAAATGCCCATAAAAGGTAAAAATCTATTTAAACTTATCTGACCACCACACAGAATATGAAGAATATCAAAAACTTTAGGAGTCAGCTGTCCACGAAAGTCCTTAAGATACCAGCGTGATAACACATTCAATCAGTTCACTCATTAAGTGACTTGCCGTCACTTATTGGTAGTTCAGTTGAGAAGTTTGTTGAAAAGTATGCATTTTTCCCCTCAACATTTCTTATCTTAAATTTCATATAAGGTGATATTAAAAAGGTCTTAAAGTCTTAAATTTAACTTGTTCAAGTCTGCAGAAACCCTGGATTTACTTTAACTTTGCAACCTGGCAACCATGAGCACATGCTCTTTGCACTGTGGAAACAGTGCTGATTATTTAAAAACGTTGACAAACTTAATTTTCCTGAGATATTCGGCTATAATGAAAGTGTAATAGAGGCAGTCTTTGTTTCTTCACATGTTTTTTTTGCGCTGTTTGCTGTATGAATCTGCCATCAAACCTCCTCGGTGACGAATGAATAAATCCAAACATGGATCTCAACTATATCGTTTGCGTTTTGTGGCCTCTGAATAAATGTAATTATGCAACCTCTGTGCTGCAGTACAAATTCTTTTCTGTTGTTGTTTCAATAGAAAAACAGAAATATCATTTGGAAATGATATGTAATAATATTAGAAATGCCGGCATTTTAGCTTTTGAGTTTTAGCGGTTTTTATAATGTAGAGCGTGTTAATTTATATGATGATATAAATAATGAAACTAGATGAGCTCAAATAAACCTGTGTTTGGGTTGACCTCTTTATTTTTGCTTATAGGTGAAAGTGCAGTAATTCTGATCAGATCTCGTAAATGACAACAGTTGAGATCAAAAATCACAGTTTTATCATTTTGAGCAAAATAATTGACTGTTTGTTTAACCATTGTGCAGCATGACTAAAATATGACCGTTTTCATTGATTAAATCTAGACTAAATTCGCCGTACTTTGTCAACTAAACCTCGACTAAATAACAATAAAATGTTAAAAACTAAGAGGACTCAGATTTGACACAGGACTAAGACCAAATAAAAAAACTGCTGACAACATTGATACAAATTTCCAGATCTCGTAAATGACAACAGTTGAGATCAAAAATCACAGTTTTATCATTTTGAGCAAAATAATTGTGACTGTTTGTTTAACCATTGTGCAGCATGACTAAAATATGACCGTTTTCATTGATTAAATCTAGACTAAATTCGCCGTACTTTGTCAACTAAACCTCGACTAAATAACAATAAAATGTTAAAAACTAAGAGGACTCAGATTTGACACAGGACTAAGACCAAATAAAAAAACTGCTGACAACATTGATACAAATTTTCAGTAATGCACTTACAGTGAAAGTCTATGGGGCAAGACATTACCCAATAATAAACATTAAAATACACACTTTTTCAAAGCTATACCCACAAGACTAAAACGTTATATTTGTGAAACGAATGTGAAAGAACTGGCCTTGTTTGGACAGTTCTTCCTATAAACCCTTCAGAATGTCTTGCCCCATAGACTTCCATTGTAAGTGTGTGTCAGTGTGTTTTGAGTGACGAATCGAAATTTCCTTTGGTGAAAACAGCACAGATGTTGTCAATCGAGCTTAAGTTGTATCAATCCCAAAACATTCCTTGCTAATCATGAGGAATAGTCTTGAAGAACAGAGGAATTGAACTGGTTTAAGACATTTGTTGGATTTTGCCCTGATTTCAGCAGCTTTATCTTAAAGAGTGCTAATGATGGTTGCTTTCTCTTTGTTTCAGGGTTCTGATCTGTACACATTCAAACAGTGCAGCAGATCTGTATATCAAAGATTACCTTCATCCATACGTGGAGGCAGGCAATCCACACGCACGACCTCTCAGGTAACACTCGCAGCATCTGGAGCGGTGCGTGATTGTCATGACACCAACTTTCAGTATAAACACAGTATACATAATGATTTTGAAATTAATAAAAATTAGTTTCAATGGCTGAAATGTCTTCCTACTCTTTCTGAAGATGCATGTCATTTTCATAATAGCCACACTTCAGTATTTCAGACACGGTTAGTTTGATTACGTCACAATACTATAAAGGACACTAAAACTACCTATTATAAATGTTTTCGTTATTTGCAATAAAGCTGAAATGAAATGAGATCTAAATATAAGATGATAATTAGAATTCAGATTATGTTAGGTTGAAGTAATTAAATTGCTAAAGCTGAAATAAAAAATAAATGAAGCTTGAATAGGAATGATTAATCAAATGGAAACAAATAAAAATTGACAAAAGCAAATAACAAAATTACTAAACCTTACATTAAAATTAAAGGGAAAATTGAAAATATAAAAACTAATTCAGACTATTAAAGGTGACACATAATGAAAAACAGACTTTTTCCGTGTTTAAATGCTATAATCGGGTCCCCGGTGCATCTACCAACCCAGAAAACGTGAAAAAGAACAACCCAGTAAATTTGTTTTGGTAAGCCTTTCTCTGCAAGCTTGTGAAAAAATGGGCCGCTCAGATTTCGCTCCTCCCGTGACATAGAAAGGGGATCTTATTATAATATTACAGCCCCTTAATCTGTACGTTTCCACCCACGGCGCTTTACGGCCATTGTGTTTTCGCAAGCGACAATGGTGTACCAGTTCTAACGCCATGGCAAATGTTCGAGCAAAGCATGCTAACTGTTCTGTCTTTGGCTGCTCTGACAAGCTCAGAACACTATTTAGAGTCCCAGCCTCAGAGGAGACAAGAGAGCAGTGGATTTATTAATTTATTTACTGTATATTACGCTGCTGCCACACAGATCTAATATAAACATGGCATTTCTTTCCCAGCTGTTTAGCTTCACAGAAATAACCAAGTGTTTTTGTAACTCGTGTGTTTTTAACATATTACTTAGTTTAGTATTGCATGCTGTGTGACCGCCGCTTTCTGTGTGCGTGCTTCAGATTTGTGCGCTCAGAAAAATGTATACCAGAACTTTAAACTAATATGGTTTAAAGGGGACATCGGATGCAATACTGCAACATTACTGTAGAACTCATTATAATCCGTGATGCTGTCTACAGTGGATGCGGCGCGACACGACAAATCGCCGTCCGTAAACAGCTGCCTCGTTCTATTTATGACGTACATTAAGGCTACAATAAGGTTGTCTTTGTAGATGGTTTATAAAGGTGTTTGTTAATGATAAATAAGTCATTTACAAATGTATTTTAAATAATTTTTGAGCAGTTATAACTACATGAATAAGAATGGTGACTTTAACTCAAGAATGGAAAAGAAGGGGGGGTTGAGCAGTAGCTCATTATCATTTAAAGAAACATGCACTGAAATGGGTTGCTGTGAACAGAGCTGTTTTTGACAGGGTAAGAAGTGTGTTGTTTTACACGACCATTGAGAAACTTTAAACAAAGTATGTTATAGACTTTTCATGAAGACCTTAAAAAATAATATCAACTTGTTGAAAATGGGCATCTGATGTCCCCTTTAAAATGCATGATTTCAGCGCGATTGACAAAAAACAAAAAACATCTGTTTGGTTTTGATTATCATGTCTGAGTATCTGAGGTACTAGCTGTAAAGGCACAGCCCTATTCTGCAAAAGGGGGCGGGGAGCAGTAGCTCATTTGCATTTAAAGACACATGCACTAAAACAGCCCGTTTCTGCTTCCACTCAAAATAGGCATTTTCAAAATGATATAATAAATGATCTGTGGGGTATTTTGAGCTGAAACTTCACACATTTGGGGGACACCTGAGACTTATATTACATCTTGTAAAAAGGGGCATAATAGGTCTCCTTTAACAAGGACTCTTATTGTATATATAAATAATCTATGAATACCATCCTTTTTGCGTTATTTTAGTATTATGTCTTTATTGCTTTTATTTAGTGTTTTTTATTTTAAGGAATGAATTGCCATTGAAGTACTGGTGCATTTGACATCCCTAATCTGAATGTACTGGCTAAAGAATAGTGTAGCTTGACTTTAACAAGGACTGTTATTGTATATATAAATAATCTATGAATACCATCCTTTTTGCGTTATTTTAGTATTATGTCTTTATTGCTTTTATTTAGTGTTTTTTATTTTAAGGAATGAATTGCCATTGAAGTACTGGTGCATTTGACATCCCTAATCTGAATGTACTGGCTAAAGAATAGTGTAGCTTGATGATTTTAGTAATGTTGATTGGACAAGTTACATGGCATTGAAAGATTTGAAAACTGGACGTTTAATTTATGCAATTTTGATGCTGTTAGTCATCCAGAATATTTTAAAATCTTTTTTCTCAAAGTTCAAGGTCACATTGGCACACCACCCACACGAGTCTGTTCCTCTGTTGTCTCTCTTTTGGTATCTTAAAATTTAGCTTGTACAGACAACATATGAATTTCTTGATACATAACCCTGGTCTTATTGTGCACAGTTTATCAGTTCATGCTCTTCAAATAAAATTTTTTGGTTTTAAAACTTGGTAATGAGACTTTTTGATGCATCAAAGTTTTGGTTGAGTTTGAGAAATATCTCAAGTTTCAATAAAAATATTCAGTGAATGTTTTAACAATACGAGGGTGAGTAAATAACTGAATTTTCGTTTTCGAGTGAACTATGCCGTTAACGTTGTGTTTCTGTGTTTGCTCAGGGTTTACTTCAGGAACCGCTGGGTGAAGACGGTCCACCCGGTGGTGCAGCAGTACTGCCTGATCTCTGGAGCGTACTTCACCTTCCAGATGCCCACGCGACAGGATGTAGAGCGCCACCGTGTGGCCGTGGTCACGCTCAGCACGTCTCAGTACCTCTGCCAGCTTGACCTGGAGCCAGGTGTGCAAACACACACACCCACACCATGCAGAACTCACCATTCTTCGCTTTCATCCCTCACACACTCCTGGCATGCTAAAGACATCGCTTGCAGCTAGTTTTCATATATGCACACATCTGATTAAAACAGAAAGACACAACAAAAGTGCGGCACAGCTGGACGTGGCCACATTAAACCCCTCCTGCAGGAGCGATGCAGCGGGTCTCGCAACAGTTTATTAGGAGAGGCTAATTTCCTCCTATGTGTCTGCGCACAGGATCATCTGTTGCTAAGAGACCCGGCTCGCCTGTCTAACACACTCAGCATCATTAACACCCAGCGCTGTCATCTTTTCTTTTTTCGTTTGTCTTCCCGCTTC